AAACACAGCCTCCATGCCTGGTGGCCCCCGCGACTGGGCAGAGCCTGTTTTGTAATAGGAAGCACTATGTGATCCAGTGAAGACGAATCCAGTATTTACCACAAAAACTATCTGCCTGAATTACAAGGCATGGAGTTTGGCTGGGAAAAAAAGGAAAAGCCAGCAGCATTGACTCATACCTATAATCCCAGCACCCAGGAGACTAAGACAGGAAGATCATGAGTTTAAGGCAGCCTGGGTTACACTGCAAGACCCTGGCTCAGAACAAAAACCAGCATATCTGAGCATTTCAGACAGACTGAAGCCACAACTGAGGCAGGTCAGTTGGTGTGAACTGGATAAAATCTGTCAGCCTGAAGAAGTCTGGATTTTCAAGTTCATTGCATCCGCTCTTGAGCTGCCTGTAAAATGGAGAAAGAGCACTGGAGTCTTGCTGAGAGTCCATTCTACATTCTTGACTCTTCTGAGAAGCCATTGCTCTGGGAATACGGCTGGGCAGCCTCCCTTCCAGGACAGGGTCTCTGGGCTGGCTGGCTGGGTGTTTCCATGGGACAAGGGAAGGCCTTGGGACAACAGATGGTATCCCAGTCCCTGAAGTCGCCAATCTGGAGAGGGCTCAGCTGCAATGCTGCCACTTTAATAACTGTTTGTTGCCACCTGCTGGCCGCTGGGCCACAGTACTCCCCTCTGCAAAGTTAAGACTTGCTAAGGAACAGCTGGGCTCCTGTGAGCCCTACCCAAGAGTGGAAGGAGATTGAGGTTTTCTCTACAGTGGCCTTTGGAAGATCCACAGTTATTCCATTCATCAAACCACACAAGATGCTACACTTACATAAAGTGTCAGGCTTCATTTGTCACTATTTAACCAGCCAGTTACATACATATTTGAGGCTATTCTCCAGGTACACTGGATGGCATTGGGAGTGAGTGACAGTCACTCATCTTATCCCTAAATGACATTATCCAGTGTGATCTACCCTATTCTTGAATTAAGCTTAACTTGTACTCATTCCCTCAGCAATGGTGATTCCAGAATTCTACTATACAACAGGCTGGGACCAAAAGCTGAGGACACAACCGTGGGCAAGACCTGGTGCTACCGATGCACTCCCCAGCCTGAAGTCTAGTGGGATCGGATGACCACACAAATGAGCATAACAGCACACAAGGCGTAGAAACAGAGGAACACAGATGTGATGAGAGCAGGTCTGAGTGGCTCTGGTTGGCTCTAAGTAGATTTGGGCTATTTGATATAATCGAAGTTATTTAAGTGTGCTCATTTTTTCCCACTCTTAGAAGTGTATCTTAAAGCAACCAGAGGAGTGTGCTGATTTGTATAATTGTTTATTAAAAACCAAAATATAAAAAATTAAAAGAAGGAAACTACCCAAGTGACTAATGATAAGAGGCTGGCTAAACAAATCATGATATTTAAAAAAAATTCTGCAACTATCAGAAAGGAAAATGTGACCTACATTATTTGACTAGGAATATATTTATATTTTGCAAGTTATAGAAAAGAATTACATTTAATTTTTTAAAACATTTGGAGTGTTTCCTTCCTGTTCTTGACTCATGCTTCCTGCTTACTTTTTAAGCAGGATTATTGTGGCTACCAGGTAAACATGCTGTTATTCCTCCCATCCCCCCCAAATGGGCACAAAGCAAAGCAATTCTTTTGCCTCTACTTTCCCCACCACTCCCACCTCGCTTCTTTGTTGCCCTTTGCAGTGAATCTACTCTAATTCCATCCCTCTCTAACCTACTCCAGCCAGGTTTTATTCATGTCAAGGTCACCAGTGTCCTGTCTGTTGCTAATCCCCAATCTCACAGGCTCCATCAGCAGTATTTCACACAGTGAATCACTCCCCCCGGTACTGGTCCTTCTCCAGGCTTCTAGAATGGCCTTCCTCCCTTGTTGCTTCCTCCTTCCCAGTATTCTTTGTGCATCTTCTTCTTCATAACCTTTGAATGTTAGTTCTCTTCCCTGCCTACACTCATTCCTTTGGCCTTATCTAGTCATAGCTTGAAACTCCATCTCCTCTACCCTAGATCTCATACACTGACTCATAAATCTCACCCCTACTCCCATCTCTAACAGACATCTCAAACTCACCATGTCCCTGGCAGAACTCCTGATTTCCCTCCTTTAAACCTATTCCTCCTGACAGCTTTCTTTAATCTGCTTGTTGGCACCTAAATCCTTCTTAATGCTCAAGCCAAGATCCTGCAAATCATCTTAAATGCTTCTCTTTTTCTGGCTTCTCAGACCCATCCTTCAGGAAATCCTGTTAGTTCTAATGTTAAAATGTATTTCCCAAAACCAATGATTTTTTCCCTCCTTCCCTATAACCACTCTGGTCCAACCCACTGCCTAGATCTCTACAGTAGCCCCTCAGGGTCCCCACACAGCTTCTGGTCACCATAGCTTCCAGAGTCATCTTTTGACAGTGTAAGTTGGATGATGTTACTCCTTGGCTGGAAACCCTGCCTAGGCAGGGGAGAGGGTAAGAGTGGTCATGGGCTATTCTTTGACCTCTTCCCCAACCAGTCTCCCGCTCTGCTCCAGCCATTCTCCATAGGGACTTTTCATGGTGTGCACTCTGCCTGGAATCTTCTTCCCACAGATAGCTGCGCCTCCTTCACATCTTTGCTAAAGTCACATCCCTAATGAAGCCCATCCTACCTACTGTGTTTAAAATTGCAGTCCACCCAGCAGTCCTGATCTTTTACCCTGTTTTACTTTGTCTTTTCTTATAGAATTTCTCACTGAATATATTAAAATTTTGCATTTCCTCCAATTAGAATTCATTTTTCTTGAGCAACAGGAATCTTTGCCTATTTTGTTTATTGATGAATCCTGAATGCTTCTAACAGTGCTTGGTACATAGCAAAACACAATGGAAAAAGTTTATTTTCCCCAGGGCCCCACACATGCTAGGCAGTCACTTTACCACTGAGCTACACTCCAGCCCTGTTTAATAAGAAACCTTATTAGGCTATTCTTGCTCAAAGCCTTTGTTCCATGTTATCACTTATTCTTTGGCAGAAGCAGAGGACTCCAAATTTATAGATTTGGAAACAATCAGTTCTTGACTGAGCTCAACTCTTCCTGGTACCGACTTGCTACACAGAGCCACTAAGAATCAGCATGCACTAATTATTGTGTCTACCAACCGCTTCTAGTGCTGTGGGCTCAGGAGATACTTTGCTCACCAAGTAGTTGAGGACAATGGTGATATTAAATAATTTACTGCTGTATAACATGGGTCATCAACTTTTCAGTCTTCAGTATCAGTTTTCTTGCCTTCCTCTGAAGTGCTATGCATTTTAGGATTTGTTTTTAACCATAGTACCCCAGTGCAAAGAGTTAAATTTTGTATTGATCATGATAACACTAGCTGTTGTACAAGCAAACCCCAGCATGTCTATGGATGCACACAATAAATGTTTGGTTCTCACTCATGAAGTTGTGCTGAGTGGTAACCAGGGCAGTAGGGTGTCCTCCTCCACATAGTCACTCAAGGATCCAGAATGTCCTATGCAAAGCCATCTTCAAAATGTGGCCTCCAAGGTTGTGCTGGGGTTCGTGGCTAGCCCAGCCAGTCAGAAGGCTAGAATGAGCATGGATGAGCTCTGGTAGGAGGTCTGCGGGTCCAAGAAAAATCTCTTCTCACATTTCACTGAACAAAACTACATGGCTCCATATAGATGAAAGGGACTGGCGGGGTGGGGAGGAGGGGTGTATTTCCTGGCTAGGCAGCCACAGTGCTGTGCTATACAAGGAAAAGAAGCAAGTATTCTAACAGTTCATGATCTCCTGTAATGTAAATATAAAAATACAACCAACATGGCCTTGCATTTTTCTCCCCTACCCTCCAAGCCCCTTAGTCTCTCTTTGTTTGAACCAACTAGTGATTTGTCAGGGTGCTGATCTACAGCTTAGGGTGAGAGAATTTCCTCATTCCATTCAGTCCGGGATGGAGGCAGAGAAGGAGCAGGCAGGGTGCCTTTAAATAACTGCTTCCTGCTATGAACCCACCTCCACCTTGCAAAGCTCAGAATGCTTCTGAGACTAAGCAATTACTAGCTGCTGGTTTTCAGGAATTTTTTAAACAAAAGACTTGAAAAGCTGAGGCCTCTGCTCTCTGCTTCCCTGAGTGAGAGTAGGCAGCAGGAAGTGGGAAGCTGGAACCACTGCTACTGGTCGGGACACTGGCACAGCCTTCTCACTGCTGGAAAGCAGCACGTAGGGGTTGGGCAACAGGCCCCAGCTGATGGCCTATGTGGGCTAAGTCTTGGAGACAGGGGTGGGGACAGCCACTCTGGGGGCCAGGAAGCCAGTCTCATGGAAGAGTGTAGTTAAAAGCCACACTCTATCAAATATGGAACCCTCCCCCAGCTGATTCAATGCCAACATCACGCTTCTCAGACTCACGTGACCGCGAAAACTCCAGGAACACTCTGCCTAACAGTGGGCCAGAAGAAACGCATTTCCAAGCTTGGAGGACGTGGACTTGTGCGATTTCGGATGGTTACACAAACAGCCAATGTTCACTCAGACCAAGTGACCCTATTTGAATCAGTCCTGGGTTACAGAAAAGGGAAGAGTAACCAGTCAAAGTCTTTCTTTCTTACAAGTTTTCATTGAGAACTGATTTATTGGGCTGGGGGAAGGGGTTTAGTAAAGGAGTGCATATTTAATGTGCATGAGGCCGAAGGGCTTGATTCCCAGCAGGGAAAAAAAAAAGTGACTCATGATGTATTTAAAATATAAAGCAAGTCCCAAATGCAGCTTGTCAAAAGCGCAGCAATTGTGTGGAGTGAGGCACACCTGTAATAGCACAAGGCCCTGAGTGGGGCTCCCTGGGCTCCAGGGCTAGGGCCCCCTGCCAGCTGTCACGGCTGCAAACAGGTGGTGTAAGACAATAACTCCACTGCGTCGCCTGGTCTTCCAAACCCTCTGGCAGCCAAGTGTCTCAGCCAGAGAGCCAGGGAGGAGGCAGTCACCACACATCCTGCATCCACAGACTATGGAGCCTCTTCTCCTGCTTCTCGGTCTCTGCTCAGGTAAGTGCTGGGGCTGGGCTGTCCTTGAGGCTGAAAAACTACAGCCCCCAAACCAAGGTCTTGCTTCTTTAATGGGGGCACAGGATGGCAGGGCCTCCTCAGCTATTGACTCCTATGAAGTTTATTTTTGATGTTGGCCTGATTGGATTTTTGATAAAGATTTTTGGCTTGTGTTATCCAGTTAAAGTGGGAGATGCCTGGTCAAGGGCTACAAGGTACACAGCCAGGTCCTCTGAACATCTTAGAGCTGCCTGTAGAATCTGGGCCACTGGTAGACTATGGGAGCACCCCACTGCCATCATATCTACAGGGACTTAGAGCAGCAACTTACAGTCACAAATAATGGAGTTGGCAAGGGCTGCTGCTGTTCTAAGAGAATTCTGACAATGAAAAGGGTTGATTGACGGCTACATGTGCTGAAAAGAGAAACCTGTTAGTAATTGGAACTAGACTCCATAGAAATGAAGTATTTTGTAATTTTCTTAAACTTCTGAAATTAAAAAGTCCATATGGATGCATTCCTGTCTACCTATTTTTTTAAAGGATGTTACTAGATGTAGTCTGGGTTTGAATTGGAACTGTAAAACCTTGCACAGCCTTTGTCCTGCATGCTACTCTGGAATGTGTCACAACACAGCAGCTGAAACACTACCCTGAGTCCCAGACTTCCGGAAGAGGGAAATAGGAGATGTTTGCTGGTTGTTTCATATAAGTTTAGTGGTGATAGCATCCCAACTGAGAGGCAAGGTGACTGATATCCTGCAATTTCTCTTTTTGAATATTGCTTTGACAAACACAGGCCTTCCAGGCAAGAGGCAAAAAGCTGTATTACGGGTTTGTTTTTTTTTTTTTTTCAATAGCAGAGTTGAGGAATGTAGGCTAAACTCAGATCAGTTCTATGCTGTGGGATTTGGACTTGATCCAACCAAAATTAGCCTAGTGTGGTGTGTGTGTGTCTGTGTGTGTGTACACACGCAAACACCACACTCAATGAAAATTGTTAAGTGATATGCTTCTCTAAAAATACTGAAGAGCTCTCTTAAGAGCTATTAAAAGAAAGATGTGTTATATGTTTTGATCAAACCTAGAGTTTGCTGGAATTTATTGCCACAAGTGGTTCATAAAATTTAGAGCTATGTCAGGCAGTCCAACACCCTCAACTTTTTATTGTAAGGATACAAGTGGAAAGACATGAACTGACCTTTTCAAGGTCACCCTGCTTATAAAATTTGGAATGGGATCACTTGGAGACTTGGTTTGTTACATCACAGTCAGAAAACAGCCTGAAATGGCCAAAGTCGCAAGAGACACAGCATCAGGTGGAGGTAAGAATGACCCAATGTACCTAGTAACAGTTCAAAATTCCTTTTGCCCAAGCCAGAGAGCTCTTCCCTATGTAAAAATACAGATTGGCCTGGGATGCTACAGAAAGCACACATTGAATCTGGGGCTGAATTCCCACACACAGAGTCAGTCCTTTATGAGCAAAATTCTCCTTCATTCATATCAGGGCCACTTATTCTGTGCTAACTTGGCACCGAATAGTGCTGTTCTATTTATATAGCACTTTTCATTTCAACCTTTTCCTGTCTTCCGCCTCCACAATCCCAAGCACTTCACTGCCACCTTTCTTGTGGCATATTACCTTCCAACTTGTTATTTATGCAAATGACAAATGTCAATCTCCATGAGGGTAGAGATAGAAATCATGCCATGTTCACCTCTGAACATCTCAAAGCTCCTAAAACAGTGTTTGTATGCTGTAGGTCCTCAACAAATATTGGTGAGTGAATAAGGTTACCACCATCTGAATAAAATTTAGCAAAGTTACCAATAGATTTTGCTAAAAAGGGAGACTCTGGCATGATTTGTCTATTTGTACCCTGCCTACTTATGAAAGTTATTTCCTGTTCCTCATTGAACCTGTGAAGAACAGGCCTAACTCTCCAACCCACGCTGGTGCCAGGAAAAGAATCATAAATGTCTGTCTCCAATCTCAGAAAATCCTCACAGAGGGAGCAGGCACCTTGTGACTAGCTCGGGTGGAAGAGGAGGAGGTGGACATCCCTGGAGCACTGACATGCCTGTTCCGAGTCCTCCCCTTCTCCTAGTGGGCCATAGAGTTGGCCTAATGGCTTCCATGCTACATAGCGCCAACTCTCTGCTTCATCCATTGCTTTCTAGTATGTTCCTCATGTGAAACTGGACTAAATAGTCATTTAAGAACAAGCAGCCCGGGGCAATACCAAAACAACATGCAAGGCACTCAGTGGTCCTGCCAGGAACCAGTCCCCAAGGTGGAGTATCCACTCCAAGTGAGACGGACAAGGTGTGGAGGACGGGGGTCACTGTGTGCGGGCTCGATGGGATAATTGCAAAAATTGGGCCTTTGAACAACATCCTCCCTTGAAGGGTCATCAAAGGCAGGTGGCGGGGAGGTGCAGATTCAGGACTCTTTGGAATCACTGGAAGCTTTGGGGTTCAGAAAACTTGGGAAACTAAAAATGAAGAGGTGAGCTAGGTCAAGGATCCGTGAATGTAACGATGCTTAAACTTACACTGAAAGTTTCAAGAATCTGAATGGAGCTGGCTGTGGTGGTGCACACCTGTGATCTCACCTACTCAGGAGGCAGAGGTAGGAAGATTGCAGTTCGAGTCCAGCCTGGGCAAAGCTAGTGTGAGACTATCTGAAAAACAAACTAAAAGCCAAAGGACTGGGAGAGTGTCTCAAATGGTACAGTGCTTGCTTAACAAGTGCAAGGCCCTGAGTTCAACACCCAGTACTGAGAAACAAAATAATCTGAGTGGAAATGATACCTTTACCTTTAGAGAAGAGGTGCACTGCCTCTGCTGTAACCCCACCTCTAATCGGCAGCACAGCCTCGAATGCATTGCTTGGTTTCTCACCTGTGAGGCAGAGAGGAAATGACCTCGTGGGATGATTATAGGGATTCAGGAAGATTGAACACATACAGGCCTTTACTAAGACTCCGTGGGGTATTCAAAACACACACTTTTGGAGGGGGGGTTGAAAATATATCAGTTCATTGTATCACTTACTTTGAGTAGTTCATGCAGATCCGAAGCTCTAGATGAGAAACAGATGGCTGAGAGCTTGGGCTCTGGGTTTGAATCCTGGCTCCATACTTATGGAATCTGAGAAAGTCATTTAACCTCTCTGTGCTTCAATTTCCTCATCTGTGGGGACAAGAAGAGTACCTACTTCACCCAGTTGTAAGGACTGAGTTGGTATTCATAAGCACCTATAAGAGTGTCTGTCACATTACAAATTGTAGTGTTGGCTATTATTTTTATTGACTAATACAAAGTAATAATTGCTTTGTTTATAAACTCTTCCAAGCTTAGGACCAAAGGAGAAAATAATAAAGAAAAATGATAACCAGTTTCAGAGACAATAGGGAAAGCGTGTCACTCATCCAAATTTGCCGTTTTCTTGGCTTGTGGAGAAGTTACAACAGCCTCAGAATTCGCTGAGGAAAGGGGAGGTTCGGTTACATGAGTCAGGGCAAGCAGATCATGGGTCTCCGTCCTCTGATCGTGTGTCTGCCGTCCCAAACAGGCAGTCCTCAATCCATGTAGGGCTTGCCTTACAAAGATCCTTCATAAGGCACTTGTTGGAATTTGGGGCAGATTTTCTTTGAGAAATAAGGGGACATGAGTGGTGAGGGTTCAGGCCAACCCACACCACACTCAGAAAATCAAGACTTGGTGCAGGAGCACCACACAAAATGGCTCTAATCTGAGTTTTGCCATTTTGGCCATATGACCTCAGGCAAGCCATCACCCTCTCTGGGTGCCTTGGGTGGTGGCACCTGGTGGAGGTAAAAGGGGACTCTGCCTTTGAGTCCTTATTCTGCGCATTTTAGACAGAAAAGCACCATGGACTTGAGAATTTTCAATGGAACCCCTCTCTACGCTGAAGGAAAAGTAGAAAGGATTCCTTGGAGTCACTTAGACTCCAAATAGGAACTCCAAACCTAGGTCAACAAAACGCAGGCTCTTCACACTCTAACAGAGTAACTCAGACATGTGTCTACGAGCAGTGATTTTTTTTTTTTCAATTGTGGAAAAATACACATTACATAAAATTTGCCATTTTAACCATTTTAAGGTTTACAGTTCAGTAGTATTAAATATATTTACTGTGGTGAACAGCTGTCTATTCATCCCAAAAAAGAAACCCTTACCCATTAAGCAAACCTCCCCCACCCCACCCTGTAGTCCATAGCAACCACCAATCTTTCCCTTTCTATGGATTTACCTATCCTGGATATCTCATATAGACGGAATATACACTATAAGCCCTTCTGTGTTTAGTTTCTTTCACTCGGCCTATTTTCAAGTTCATCTACGTCATAGCATGTGTTAGTATGTCATTCCTGTTTATGGCTGAATAAGATTCTAGTGTTTGGAAATTCTACTACTTGTTCATCCATTTATCTTTCAATGGACACTGTTGTTTTCACCTTTTGACTATTTTAAATAGTGATGTTTTCTTTCAGGTATATAACTAAAAGTGGAATTGCTCAGTCACAAAGTAACTGTTGAACTTATTGAAGGACTGCCATTTTATTTAATTTTTATTTATTTTGTTGGCTGTATTGGGTTTTGAACTCAGGGCCTCACCACACTTGCTGGGCAGGTGCTCAGCACATGACCAGCCCTTTTCTGTGTTGGGTTTTTTTCGAGATAGGGTCTCACAAACCACCTTGGCTGGCTTCAAACTGAGACCCTCCTGCTCTCTGCCTCCTGAGCAGCTAGGATTACAGCATGAGCCACTGGCAACAGTGGAACTGCCATTTTATCGTCTCATCAGCAACACACGAGCTTTCATTTTCTCCACAGTGTCACTGCTACTTGTTACTTTCCTTTTTTTTTTTTAACTCTGGCCATCCTAAGGAATGTGAGCCAGCAGTCACTTTTGACTATCTCATGGTGTCATGAGATCTGAGGTCAGCCTGCCAAAGATTTCACTACACCGTGACCACACTCTGAAACACAGACTGACTTTTGGTGAACCGACCCTTCTTGTGTATGCATGTTCCTGGCAAACTTGACTTGGCCAGGAGCTATATTAAGGAAGGTCACTTGTCCGTGATCTGGCATGCTCCCCAACCACTGCTGCCTGGTACAGGGGCACACCAGCAACTGTGCTTGGGAAGGGACTTACAGCAATCTAACTGCACCTGGGAGCATTGGACGGGGCCTTGAGTCCCTGCCATTAGCTGACTCCACCTCATCCCTCACCTCAGTGTGTGGAGGGTGAGGAGCAGAGTCCGACAGGGTATGTGTCATTTGCTGTGCAGCTGGCCTCGCCCTGGGCTCCGAACATGAGACCCGTCTGGTGGCAAAGCTATTTAAAGACTACAGCAGTGTGGTACGGCCAGTGGCGGACCATCGCCAGGTTGTGGAGGTCACCGTGGGCCTGCAGCTGATCCAGCTCATCAATGTGGTAAGACACAATGGGGTCCCCATAGCATACTCCCCCACCCACACCAGCACTGTCCCCTCATCTCTGTTCTTTGCCCCTAAAGAGGAACCTTCTCTCTTTTCAGGATGAAGTAAATCAGATCGTGACAACCAATGTTCGTCTGAAACAGGTGACTCAGCTAAACCCTGAAATCAAACCTGGGCCCAGGGGAAAACAGTTTGGGTTTCAGGGATGTATGGTGGAGTATAGGTCCAGTTTGCTTTTCATTTTTAAGACTTTTCCTTTGAGTATTAGTTTGCTAGGGATGCCAAAACAAAGTACCACAAACAGGGTGACCTCAACCACAGAAATTGATCCTCCCACCATTCTGGAGGCTAGAAGTCCAAAGGCAAGGTGCCAGCAGGGGTAGTTCCTTCTGAGGACCATGAGGGGAAGATTTATTGCAGAACTTCCTCCTTGGCTTTTTGATGACATCTTCACATTCAGTTCTACCTGTGTATATGAGGGACACACATACACTCAGGTCTTTAAATGTCCCCTTTGTATAAGGACACCATTCATACTGGATTCAAGCCTACCTTTAATGACTTTATTTAAACTTAATTCCTCTGAGAAAACCGTATCTCCAAATAAGGTCACATTCTGAAGTATTGGGTTAGCACTTCAACATATGTATTTTAGGAAAATGTTCACACTTGGGCTGAACTTCTCAGCAGGCACACAGTATGGCCTGGTGATCTGCCACCAGCCAGCTGTGTGACTCATGGATACCTTGTTTTCTCATCTGTACGATGAGGTCAACAATCATTCTTTTTATTTGTTGGTAGTACTAGGGTTTGAATCAGGGCCTTGTACTCACTAGGCAAGTGCTCTACCATTTTTTTTGCTTTGGTTTGTTTTTTATTTAGAGTCTTGAGCTTTACCCAAGCTGTCCTCAGACCACGATCCTCCTACCTCCACCTCCCAAGTAGGGACCACAGGCATTCACCACGACTCATTTGTTTTTGAGCTAGCATCTCGCCCTCAAACTGTGATTCTCCCAATCTCTGCCTCCCAAGTAGCTGAGAGTACAGGTGTGAGCCAGCAAATCCTGCTTAGTAATCACTCTTATCTCAAAGGATTGTTGTGAGGACTAAGTATGTTAATAAAGCACTTAGAGCAGGCCAGGCTTAGTCAGCACCACCTTCACTGTAATGGTTTGCTAAAGTGAGCACTGAATTCTGAGTCAGAGGTTTCTTTCCTGAATTGTAAACACTTGACAGTATCTAAATGACCAAGCCCGTCAGGGCTCTTGGTCACCCTAGCTTTTAAAAATGTTTTTGGCTTTTTAATTAGCTAAATGTCTTCATTTCTAGCAATGGGTGGATATCAACCTAAAATGGAACCCAGATGACTATGGTGGTGTGAAAAAAATTCATGTTCCCTCAGAAAAGATCTGGCACCCAGACTTTGTTCTCTATAACAAGTAAGTAAGGCCACACGTGTGGGGGCCCTCCTGGGGCAGGTGGAGCCAAGTGTCTTCATGGAGGGGCTGCCACTTTGCTTCTTAGCACAGTCAACATTAAATAACCCTGAAGAGCCAGAGCCACATTGACAGGCAAGGGGCGCCATATGGTGTCTGGTGTTATGAATAGAAACAATTATCAGAGCTAAATTGAATCAGGGCTGTGGGTGGGGACATTTAATCCCTGAGAGCTCCTGCGGGGGGTGTGGCAACCATCCAATCACCCAAACTTCCTGTCCCGAGTTCCTTAGAATCAAATATCCTCCCTGCCACAACTCCCAGCGTTGTTATTCAGGACATCCTGAACATCATCCCAACACGGATGCCTGGGATGCCTGCCTTGACGGTGCACTGGGCCCGGAGACAGCCTGCATGTTGTGAAATTATAATGCAATTCAAGACACCTAGTTTAATGACACACTCGTTATTATACACCCTTCATTTGTCAGGGAATATTCATTTCAAAAGAGTGTCCTTCCAAGGCAGAAGCCTTTGTTGTGAGCCTAGAGGTCTTATGGTCTGACATCACACATGTATCTAGAAGCATGTGAGTCTCCAAGCCATAAGGGGGTGGGAGTTGCAGGGGCCAGTGTATGAAAATGATGCCACTTCTGGTGGTCCTCCCAACTTTGATTTTCTGCCATACATGGCCCAGTTATACTTGGGAATCAAGCTTGAGCCAAATTACTCAATCGCTGGTGTGAATTTTGCAGCAAATGTCCTGATAGAGCACAATATCTGTGTTAAGTTCCTCTTCAGGAAGAACCTGGGGAAGCAATTACAGTGCTCTGATCCTTTGGGAAAGCTTACTCAGGAACACTGATGGAGAGGCAGAACTGTGTAACCTGCCTGAGGGACATACAGAGACCAACCTAGGGCCCTCTGCTCTTTTGGAAGGGATCTAATGCTATGCCGTTTTCTGGATAAAGAGCCCCACTTCAGCCCCAAGGATAAATCAACAGGAAGAAAATCTCTTGATTTATGATGGGGATCAACACATGCCATTTTGTCTCTGAAATACCACTGAGGTCATACACACACACTCACACCAATTCCACACCTATTGTAACTGCTGTCTGCCAAGGACCCACTGACTAGGCTTGAGGAAGTGGCTTATTCTTACTTTTTAGCATCTAACATAGTCTTTTTTTTAAATAAGAAATTATTGCTGAAAGTGTAGCTCAGTGGAAGAGCATGTGCTTAATGTGTATAAGGCCCTGGGTTTGATCCTCAGCACACAAGAGAGAAAAGAGAGTAATTATTGCCAATATTGGAAAATCACATTAAATTTTGGATTTTTGCCTCTCTAGAAAAATCTGACATTCAAAAACTTGGAAATTTTTGATTTACAAAAACCCCAGCTTCTGAGGAAGAAACCAAGTAGCTGGCAACCTTGACCTTCCCTCCCTGTGGACACACTGTGCTGAGAGAGGGGCTTTCTGCTCACCAGTTCCACTCACACTCATTCCCCCACCTTGCCCTGGAGTCATCTGAGTTTGTGACCCCACCCTACTAAGTTTCTAAGCAACTCTTTGTTTATTTTTTTGAGGCAGAGTCTTGCTATGTAGCCCAGGCTGACCTGGAACTCACCATCCTCCTATTTCAGTCTCCCTAGTGCCAGGATTACAGATGTGCACCACCACCACAGCTCTTAATAGTTCTTACAGAGGCTAAAGACCCCTTCCTCCCTAGCCTGTTCATCACAGTAAGGAGCCACTGGAGTGTTTTATTTTAAAGTCCTGAGTTTCCCAGTTAACTGTGAAAGCCTATTGGGAAGGGATAACTGAATATGGATATTACAAATACCACTGAGTGCTGGAAAAGAAAACCTGAGACACAGTGGATCCATGTTACCTGGTGTTTCCTTAAACCCATAGATTGTCACAGTTGTCCCTGACATTCTGACCCAGAGCTCACTTAGTACTCAGGAATCTGTATTTTTAACAAGACCCTGGTGACTCTTATTATCAGACACATTTGGGAAACATTGCTATAGATTAAAAAGCAGCATCCCTGAGAGAAAACTTCTATAATTAGCACCTGAATAACTAGCAGCTATCTCCTCCTAACATCTCCAGGCAGAACGGGAAGGCTCATCTGTCGCTTGCAGCCATTTTCCTTTCTTATCCCAACCATAGTGCAGATGGAGACTTTGCCATTGTCAAGTTCACCAAAGTGCTGCTGGACTACACAGGCCACATCACGTGGACACCTCCAGCCATCTTTAAAAGCTACTGCGAGATCATCGTCACCCACTTTCCCTTTGATGAGCAGAACTGCAGCATGAAGCTGGGCACCTGGACCTACGATGGTTCTGTGGTGGCCATCAACCCGGTAGGTGGCGAGGAGTTAGTTTCAGGAAAAGTACAATCCAGCTCTCCGACTCTGCCCCTGGATAAGCATCGGCTCTTGGCACTGATAGAACCAGGGAACCATCTACTTTGATGGTTCTCCATTGTTGGAAAGGTTCAAGAATTCTGACTTAATCCACGTGAGGTGGATTAAGTCCGGTGTTTCAAAGCTCCCAGGTGTCTTGAATGTGGAGCCAAAATGAAGAATCCCAGTAGTGCGAACCCCCTTATGTTATCAGAAAGCCACCTGAGATCCAAAGCAGAAGTGGCCCAGCGTCCCTCCAGTATGTCATCCTCAGAACAGGGGACTGCTACCTTGTCACTGCTGCTTACAGAACCCTGCCCCTCCTCAGAGTGACCTCATTTCATTTCTCAGGAAAGTGACCAGCCAGACCTGAGCAATTTCATGGAGAGTGGGGAATGGGTGATCAAGGAGGCCCGGGGCTGGAAACACTGGGTGTTCTACTCCTGCTGCCCCAACACCCCTTACCTGGACATCACCTACCACTTCGTCATGCAGCGCCTGCCCCTCTACTTCATCGTCAACGTCATCATTCCCTGCCTGCTCTTCTCCTTCCTGACCAGCCTGGTGTTCTACCTGCCCACGGACTCAGGTGGGTGCAGCCACATGGCCGTGGTGCTCTTTCAGGGACAGCCATAAATAATCATATGCTAACAACCACAGGTGCAGAGAGCCAAGTCATCATCATGGAGAGGAGGCATTTACCAGACAGCCATGTGCAGTGGAAGGTGACCATGGGTGGAGCACATAGCTGGGTAGATGTCCAGAACAGGCGGAGAGTTGAACATGACCCCCAAGATGCGCCTCCCTACCTGGGTCCAGTTAAAGTGAATTAGGTATTAACTGATACCTTTGACTGGATACCAGCTGTGTGCCCACAAATGTGCCAGGGAAGGCGTGTGGGTCGCAGGCACTCAGACTGTCTCTGTGCCATCACTTTCTAGATACATTTTACTCTGGGTCTAGCTCCTGTAATCATTGCCTGCCACTTGAAAGTAGCTCGTGCAAATCTGTTTTCCAGATGGCGGTATCTTTACACACGAGACCAGACTTCCCAAGTGGCCATCCTTTCTCACATATCAGCCTGGACAACTTACTTTCCTCCTTCTGAGTAATCACATCTGTGTAATTTCATCAGGCACCAGCCCTCTACTGAAGAGGGGAAAGGGCACGCATATGCCTGCCAGCAAGTCCCAACTCAGAGACAATTTACGGCAGACAAGTAGGAAAAGCAAACTTATGACAGGGAGCAATTTTATCAGAATGATTAAAAAAAAAAAGTTTAAATCCAACCTGCCAATAAGAAAAAAAGATTGTTCACTCATTCAACAAACACTCAAGCAACTGTTATGCGGCAGGGATAAAGTAGAGAGTAAGGCAAGTACCTCACCCCATGTACCTGTCATTGTCCTCATTTTTAATCCTTTTTTTTTTTTGAGACAGGGTTTCTATGTTACCTAGGCTGGCCTTGAGCTCACAATCCTCCCACCTCAGCCTGTACCCATTTTTAAACAAGTAAGCACAAATACATATTTTTTTCAACTTCCTAATCAAGTGAAGCTTCTTAAAATGAATAGAGAACACACTGCCAGGGCAATATGGAAACTAATTAGTGTCTATTTTCGCTTGAAAAGCATTTAGTACAATGACTAGACTGCGCCTGGTAATTGCTATTACTGTCATTATTAATCAAGAAATGACACGTGACTTGGTAAATGTATTTGTAACTCTGTCTTCTTTTTTACTTTCAAATACTTTCCTTCCTACCAGGTAGAATCAACCACTTCTGCTTGCTCCCATCCATATCAAGAGTTTACAGTTGTCCCTTGGAACCCACAGGGGATTGGTTCCAGAACCCCTGCAGATACAGAATCCATGTATGCTCAAGTTCCTATAGAAAATGACAGTATTTGAATAGAACACATGCACATCCTATGATATACTTGAAATTGTCTCTAGATTATGTCTAATTCCAAATAGAATATAAATAGCTATAATACTGTATTGTTTAGGAAACAGGGACATGAAAAAATTCTTTACATGTTTGATATAGATGCAATTTTCTTTTTCTTTTTTCTTCTTTTTTTAAATTTTTATATGCTGGGAATCAAACCCAGGGCCTTGTGCATGCTAGGCAAATGCTCGACCAACTGAGTGACATCTCTAGCCCATATTTCCTTGATATTTTTGATCCAAGGTTGGCCGAAATTCTTAGATGCAGAAGCCACAATACAGAGGGCCCACTGTTCTTCTCTTCTAACATCTGGAAGCATCCAGTGTGGGAAGCTTCATACTTCCAAGCAGGGCAACACTAGGCTTTCCCACGGAGCAAGCAGCAAGACCAGCCCAAGGGCCATGCCTTCCTAAGGTCCTTTACTGCATCTACGGTGGTCACACCCCGAAAAGACACTCCAGAGCCCTTCAACCCTGGCCTTCCTGTCTCCACACTTGCCCCAACCAGGACTCCTGAGACTCAGGGTCCAAAGAAAAAGGGGAGTGCCAGGAGAATCCCTGCTCCCTTGATATGAAAAACAGAACATAGCAAGGAGTAAGTAAGAACACAACTTCCTCTTAAATGACAGTGAGAAAGGATGCAGAGATCCGATCACTCAGGATACCAGGAACAACTCTGTGGCCTTGCAGATTTTATCTTTTTCTGGGTTTTGGTCTTGCTGCTCACTCCCACTAATCTGTGTAAAAGTAGTCCAAGTTGCGTTTCAGTTTTATGAGGTTTTATACATTCTGCTGCCAAAGGAAGAGCTGTCACCCTGGGCCCGGCTCATCACCCCAGGAACCCCTCTTGGTTCCTTAGAGTTAAAATGCTGAGGTCACCCAGGAAATTCTGCAGAAAAAAATTCTCAGAATAATCATTTGTGAACAAACCAGTCATATTCCTTCCCCCTTGGGTTTCTGTGGTTCATGAGTTGGCCGGGGCTGCCACAACGATGTACCACAGATAGTGGTTTGAACAGCAGAGATTTATTTCCTGAGCGTTCTGGAGGGCAGAAGTTGAGATCAAGGTGTCAGCAGGATTGGTTTCTTCTGAGGCTCCATTCCTTGGCTGTCAGATGTCTGACTTCTCCTCCCCCACATGGTCCTCCCTGTGCATGTCTGTGTTCAAATTTCCCACTACAAGGACACCAAATTGGATTAGGACCTCATTTTAACCTAGTTATCTCCTTCAAGGCACTAATACAGTCACACTCTGTCCTGGGGCTTTGGGGTCGGGGCGCAGCCCAGCCCATCACGGGTGGGTTGTTGTGTTTCTTCTTTGTGTCTTTCTAGGGGAGAAGATGACGCTGAGCATCTCGGTCTTATTGTCCTTGACTGTGTTCCTGCTGGTCATCGTGGAGTTGATTCCTTCCACCTCCAGTGCTGTGCCCCTGATTGGGAAATACATGTTGTTCACAATGGTGTTCGTCATCGCATCCATCATTATCACTGTCATAGTCATCAACACACACCACCGCTCTCCCAGCACCCACGACATGCCCGGGTGGGTGCGGAAGGTGAGTGCTGATTTCACCAGGGAGGGCATTGCCATCTCCCCTTCAACGCAGCCTGTGGAGTTGTAGCTGGCACTTGTGTGTATTTAGAACTGAAAGTCCTTTCTGGGTTTCTGGGGGCCTGGGGAAGGAACTCTCCTCAGCTTCTTTCTTGGGATAATTCATGTAGAATTACGCAAAGAGAGAAGAAAAATAAAATTAGCAAAGCTCACTCTAAATTTAAGGTCACAGAATCTCTTTGACTAGAGATAAATAAATCCCCAAATGTATTTATGCTGTGACATTCTTAAGATTTCTGGGTGTGTGTCTTCCAATTTCTGAACAGACTTGTTTATTTTTTGCTGATAAAATCATCCTTGAGAATAAAGTAAGTACTAGAAATGGGGGAGAGGCTTGAGAAGAGAGTGTCAAAAATGAGGAATTTGGTCTCAAATATTTATATTGTTGAATTGAAAAATGTGTTAACATTTCAAATATATCCTTGTGTGTGGTTTGTTTTTTTTTTAATTGGGGGGTGGTGAGGTTTGAATCCAAGGCCTAGTCTGTGCTAAGGGCCTGGGCCTCTGCCCCTGAGCTACATCTACAGCCCAAATATGTCCATTTTTTGATAAAACTTCACAGAAACTCTGAAGCGTAGAATTGACAAGGAAATTACTGCTTGCAATGCTGCTGTGTGAAGTACATTAGCAATCCCTGTCCCATAAAGACGGTCAGGTGACTCCTGACAATATCCCTGCTGCCATTTTTTTAGGAACAAGAAACACAAGAAAAAAGTCTAGCTATTTTGTGGAGCTGGAGATTTATACATTAGAAGCAGAGGGGCCCCTTTACCTATCAGCTCCTGAGAGTACATTGCCAGAGGGGAGCGGCTCTGAGGCTGAGACGCAGGCTGCCTGGGTAGATGGCTGCACGCAGGCTCCCTCCAGCGGTGAACGTCTCACATTACCGAGTCATCCGTGCTGACGCAGTAATTTAACAGGCCTGTCAGATGCGCATGAAGACTTCGAGAACATCCGGTGTTGTGCTTTTGTTTGAAGGATAAGGAGGATAAGGCCAAGAGATGCCAAATGACTTGCCCAAGATCGCATTGCTAATTCAAACTCAGAGTGTGATGTTTGTCTGTGTTCAAAATAATTTTCATACCATGGATGTCTTTTTTGTTGTTGTTGTTGTCAGGTTTTTATCGACACTATCCCAAACATCATGTTTTTCTCCACAATGAAAAGACCATCCAGAGACAAACAAGAGAAGAAGATTTTTACAGAAGACATTGATATTTCTGACATTTCTGGGAAGCCAGGGCCTCCACCCATGGGCTTCCACTCTCCCCTGATCAAGCACCCTGAGGTGAAAAGTGCCATTGAAGGTGTCAAGTACATCGCAGAGACCATGAAGTCAGACCAGGAGTCCAATAACGTAAGCTCTGTGGCTTGAAGTCTGTTCTCTGGGTTCAGTGATCGAATTCATGAGTAGATGGGTCACGGCTTGATGGGTAGGCTGACATTGAAGCCTTGGCTACTGACCCACCACTAGGCCATCCTAGGAACTCATCAGGTTGTGAATCAATATTCCAAACTAATGATCATAAGGCCAGCTCAGGGGTGTGGAGAGCTTTGAGATCCCCAAATTGAGGGGCCCATAGAGGATGGGTGGCCTGAGCACTGTGAGTCCAATGACCATAGGGGAATTCCGTCTACCATTCTCCTCCCTCCCAGGCGGCCGAGGAGTGGAAGTTCGTCGCGATGGTGATGGACCACATCCTCCTTGGCGTCTTCATGATCGTCTGTCTCATCGGAACCCTGGCTGTGTTCGCAGGCCGGCTCATTGAATTAAATCAGCAAACGTGAGCAGAGGCCACCATGAGCCTAGCTCTGCCTCAGGAGCAGCCAGAGGAGGGAAAGGCAGGAAAGAAGAGGGCTGTCTACTTTCATACACGCTCACTTATCAGACATGCAACTTTCTGGACTCATTACGAATGTAGTGCTTTATGTTTACATAAGGTTGTATTTTCCCTTGGCTTCTCCCTTCAGCCTGGCAGTGTCTCCCTGGAGAGCAAATCCTTTCAGTAACTGAAAATGGATCTTTAAAAGAAGTGCGCACTTCCAAGTGCGATCCAGGAGTTTTGTCTGGATGGCCAAGGTTTTCTATTGTGTTGTCATTGCTAATTGCTACTTTTTAAAGCACAGGGTGCGCTTTGCTTAAGACCCTACTAGGAAAACCCCATCTACTAGACCCAAAAAAATAAAGCATTTGATTTGGACAAACAGGAAACAGTAGAAATAAGGTAACTTTCAGAATTGCTACCAAATGCAAATGGCATCAAAAACACATGTTTTAAAATAGATTTCTAGAACTGGGAGGTGGTTCTCAGGTGGTTTTGTTTTTTGTTTTGAGGGCTTTTTTGGGGGGAGGGTGCTGGGGATTGAACCCAGGGCCTTGCACATGGGAAGCATGCGCTGTACCCCTGAGCTGCACCTGGATCCCAAAACTTCCCAGTTTAAAGGACAAGACCCCTACTTTGGTTTTATGCTCAGGATTTGAAGGAAAACAGGTCGTAACATGACTGAGTGTATGCCGGGCCCTGTGGGAACCATCTTACCTATGTTTTATTTCATCCTAATAATTTCAGACAGTACCTATTTTGCAAAGAAGAAAATGGAATTCCAGACAGGTGACGTTCTTTGCTGAAACTGGAAGAACTGATTTGAACCCAGACCTTGAGATCCCAAGACAACTGCAGGCTGGCTCAGTCATCTGCTTGCTTGCTCTCTTGACCACTCCTAGCTCGATCTAAGCTATTCTATAACTCTGGTCTGTGCTGCTGAGAGTTCAGCCTCAGTGACAGTCATCTTTCTGCTTTCCCAATTAACTGCCTGCCTTTATCTCTCCGTCCTTACACCAATCATGTTTGAGGTTTTAGTTTTATAAATGAAAGCAGAAATGTATGTAAAAATCACCATTGTCTCAAAAATTCTGAGGAATCAAGAGAGAAAATGATTTATTTCTCACCAGTAAACTTCAAGCCTCAGAATGAGAAACGGTGTGGCTCTAGCTTCCTTTGAATCACTGGAACACAACTGATCCAGGACAGCTCTAGGGGACAGCAGTAAATTGCACAACTGTGGGGCAAGTGTGAGCCCTGGTGGTTTCAATCCATTTCTCATGGGCCTTTCCATCACACACCCATAGTAGGGCTGGTGCTGTCATTCAAGAGTAAAACCGTTTTCCCAGTCTAAAGGGGAAAGAGTTGGCAGTTCCTTAAAAAGTCCCTCACGGAGTTCCTGTATGATTAAACACTTCCACTCCTTGGTGTATCCTAAGAGACTTGAACAGATATTTGTACACTGATGTTCATAGCAGCAAATAGCCCAAAAAAGGAAGTAGGGTCCGTCAATGGAGGAATGGAAAGACAAAATGTGGTCTACTCACAATGGAGTATTATGCAGCCTTAAAAAGGAATGAAATTCTGGGCCATGCTACAACATGGATAAACCTCAAAAACATTATGCTAAATGAAATCAGCCAGATTCAAAGGATAAAAAGTGTATAATTATGAGATATTTAGAAGTTCATAAAGACAGAAACAGAATAGAGGTTATTGGGAACTGAGGGTGGGGTGGGGATTTAGTGTTCATGGGTGTAGAGTTTTACTTTGGAAGATGAAAACACACAGCATTATTAATACTTAACACCATTGAGCCACGAGCTGAAAAATGCTTAAAATGATAAATGTTGTGTTTGTATTTTACCACCATCTTTGAGAAAAGAGCAAAGTAAAGGCCCCAGTACCCAAGCACTGGCTACAGATTCAGAAAAGAGACTGAAAACCACTTTGTCCACTTCCCTCGTCTTATGAACAAGGAAACTAAGACTTACAGAAGTGACCTTCCTCGGGTCACAAAGCTAGCTGGCAAGAAGCCAGATCTGCTAACTCCTGCTCTCACGCTATTTCCATTCCACTGAAAAATCCATTTCTCCCCAAGAAGTGGTGTCTTTCACATGTCCCCTCCCCACCTGGTCCTGGGAGCCACAGCCCTGACCCCCCGAGTGGGTACAATGCCACATTGCACTGCCCCAGCCGCTGAATCTGCTCCATCCACCTGCTGGCAAGCCAAAGACCTCATCTTTGGCATCTCTTCCCTTTGTCGCAGCCTGGTTTCCAGAAGGTCACTGATGAAACTGGAGGGGAGATGTACTCCCCACCCCCACCCCCAGCCCCCCGCTAGCCCTGCGTGCTCTGTGGATGAGCCTGGGTAATAAGAAGCACACTGAGGAACTGGAACACAAGGTATGCTGTGACATTGTGAATTTACAGATTAAAAATGGAGCAGGAATTTTTCAGGACTTAAATCCCTATGTCTTCTTTTGGTGGTGGTCTCAGTAAGAAGGAGGGACTCCAGGAAAGTCAGAGGAGTCCTGTAGGAGTTTCCTGGGTTGCAGCAACAAACTACCCCAACACGGGAGCCTGCAAGCAAACAGAATTTATTCTCTCAGTTCCAGATGCCCGCTATGGACCAAACTGTGTCTCTCTCTGTTCCATGTCTTGAAGCTCTAAACTACCAGTGTGACAGTATTTGGAGATGGGGGTCTTTGGGAGATAATTAGCTTTTGATGAGGTCACCAGGGTGGGGCTTTTTGTGGAATGTGTACCTTTATGAGGAAGACCAGGGAGCTTTCTCTCTCTCTCTCTCACTCTCTCTCTCTCTCTCTCTCTCTCTCTCTCTCTCTCTCAACTCTCCGTCCTCCCCCTCCCCCAGCAGAGCTGGATGCTGGGCATGGTGGTGCAGGCCTGGAATCCCAGTGCTTGGGAGGCTGAGGCAGGAGGATCATGAGTTTGAGACCACCCTGGGCCACATGGTGAGACCCTGTCTAAAGCAAAGCAAAACAAACAAATAGAAAACAGCAGAGCTGGGAATGGAGGGAAATAAAAAGAAAAAGGCAGAAATAGAAGTTGATTGTTTTGACTCAAAGTTCAGGATTCTTTCCACAGTCTTCTGCAGTTGTTGTGGAGGATGTAGAGAAATTGGAAACCTTGAGCAAGGCTGGGAGGAATGTGAAATGGTGCAGCTGCTGTGCAAATCTGTTTGGCAGTCCCTAAGAAGTCACACATAGGGTCCCCAGAGGATCCAGCAATTCCACTGCTAGGTACACACCCAGAGGAACAGAAAACAGGGACTTGAAGACACCTGTATATTAATGTTGGTAGCATATTCCCAATAGGCACAATAAGAAAACAACCCAAGTATCCATCAGCACGTGGGTGGATAAAGGAAAATATATACACACAATGGGGTGTTAGTCTTTGAAAAGGAATGAAATTTTGGCTACGGCATGGATGAGCCTTGAAATCACTAATGGTAACTGAAACACGCCAGCTACAAAAAGACAAATGATTGATTCCACTGTTGTGAGATGCCCTGAGAAGTTAGGTCCATAAAAACAGAAAGGCAAAGAGAGGTTACTAGGGCTGGGAGGAGAGAGGGGTGTTGTTAATGGGGGCAGTTTCAGTTTGGGACGATGAAAAAGTTCTGGAGTGAGCTAGTGGAGATGGTCACAGACACTGGATGTGAGCACCACATGGTTAAGGTGGCAAATTGTACATTATGCATATCTTGCCACAATAAAAGGGTGTTTTTCTTTTTTTAAAAAAAAAAGCAATGGCTCTTTCCTTATCCTTGAAAATAGTTCTTAGGTGTGGATTGGGACAAAATGGGCACAGTCAACAGAAAAACCCATGTCCTCTTGGGGAGGCCGATGGTCTCTCTTTACAGATGTTCTTGAAGGAGTCTAGTTTCCTCCTGGAACCAAACTTGGACAGACTTTTTTTTAACTCAGGAAGTCACCTTGGAAGATGGAGCAAGGATATCATCAAGATTCAATTTTAAACCCACCTTTAAGCAAGTGACTCACCATGGGGGCAGGGAGGTTGCGGGGGGACACACAGGGGAGAGCAGGAAGCACAGTAAGGAAAGACTCCTTCTCTGAATCTCTCTTTCCCTTTCTATCAGCCAGTGAAGGCTCTGCTAAGGAACATTTAAGGAGTATTTCCGTTTAATCAGACAACAATATTTTAACAATATTTTTTTAACTTCAATATATCACAGTGTTTTTAAGCCTGTCTTTCTGTTCTCCTCTGTATAGCCCTTTGTTCATACAACTTGCCATTTTATACTGTTTTCTTGTGTTTCTGGTTTTAGCTCCCAGCTGAAGGACAACGCCTGTGTTTATTTCTGTTTATAGTCTCAGGTACTAGTCAAGCAGGTGCTAAAAATAGCTTATTGACTAAGTGAAGAGATCAGCAGCTGGATGGCTAAGCAAACTGAATGTCTTTACACAGCCTCTCCTTCTCAGAGTGTCCTACCTTTGTGTAACTGGTCCAAATAAATGTGCATGGTTTCAGCTGCAGTGATAGAAATTCTGATGTACATATGAAAATGATGTGCATCACTGTTTGTCAATGTAATCACCATGAGGGTTTTCAACCTGCTTCATTTCACCTCACTGCCACTGACCTGCAGCGCAAGCCCTTCTCCAAGGCCTCTGCCTCCAGAAAACCTTCCAACCACCGGCCCCTCTCAGTCTGAGTTCCTTTTGATTTTCCTTACTGCACAGACTGCACCCAATGTTATCCCAAGATGTCTATTTGACTAATGACTTTGTGAATGTAAGTCCTCTGTGTTCAACAAGACTGTCCCTACCTGAAGAGAGCAGCTTGGTGGAGCTAGCAGACTGGGGTTCCGGACACCCACACTTCCATACTTCCTGTAGGACTTTGGGCAAGTTACTTAACACTTCTGAGTCTGGGAATATGTGGACAGCAACTTCTTCCCTGTGTGTGTGTGTGTGTGTGAGAGAGAGAGAGAGAGAGAGAGAGATGGCTGACACTCTCCTCTGTAGGTAATCTGTAAATAATGCCCTCCAGGGCGAGGTTTACATCCTAAACTTCTTTTATACCCCTAAACCCAGGAGGGGTTGAGTACATATTATGTGTCCACAGACATTTGTTTGAGTTGAGTTTTCCTGTTACTGGGCTGTGGGGGAAGCGCTCAGAGCCTTGTGCTTGCTAGGCAGCACTCTACCACTTAGCCCCATCCCAGCCCTCCATTACGTCTTTTGTTGAGATATAAATTCACATGCCAGAAAACTCACCATTTAAAAGTGCTCAAATCAGGTGCTGATGGCTCATGCCTGCAATCCTAGCTACTTGGGAGGCTGAGAACAGGAGAATGGCTGTTCAAGGCCAACCAGGACGAGACCTCATCTCCAAAATAACCAGAGCAAAATGGACTGGAAGTGTGGCTCAACTGGTAGATCACCTGCCCTGAGTTCAATCTCTAGTCCCACCAAAAAAAAAAAAAAAAAAGGTGCTTAATTGGTGTTTTTTTATATATTTGAGTGGCATAAAATTTAGTGTTTCACAATTCCAGAATGTTTTTATCACCCTATTTCCATTACACATTTTAAAGCTTTATTTAGCTTTTAATAACAGCATACATTTTGACATCTCACTAAATGTAATTATTCTATAGACACTAATAGTATTCACTGTGTCTGGCATTTTCTGATTTACTTTACACTGCAAACCTCATGTGGTGCATCTGGTCGCCACCATCATCATCTCTGTTGTGACAAAGAAGTTGAGACATGGAAAAGACATGAATCTTTTCAATGCTACACAGAGAGAAGTGGCAGAGCTGGGATTTGAACACCAAATGTCTGAGTCTTATGTTTTTCCCCATGCTGGGCACGTAAAGTAACTCTTAACTCAGCCCGGCTGCCCTCACGTGAGTCGCCAAGGTATTCTGATAAAATAGATTGCATTACTGGGATGCCTTGGGTTTATTTAAGACTGAAAAATCCTCCAGCCTGTCGCAGGGGTATCTGTTATTTTAAAAAATAATAATAATAATAATGTTATCTTTTTTCTACTAATCATGTAATTTAGGAGAAATTCATTTTAGAAAATAATGCACTGTGGCTAAAAATTTTATTGAAATACAATAGAATGTGTTTGGTGGGCTGTTTCTTGGGGAAGGTGGTTAAATGGCACAATACACTATCACATTTTAAAGAATAAATACTATTTTAAATAAACTGGGCAATAGCGCCCTCTTGTGCTGAAAAGTAATTACTTAAAATGCAGGAGAGCTGTTCCCAAATAGCTTTAAGTCCAAGAAAGCAAGGCGCTCAGTAACTGTATTTTAACTAGCACATCCACTGCCATTAATCTTTGTTCATTAATTCTCCCAATGTTTATTTAGCACTTACCAGCAACCAGGTATACCAGGTGATTACACAGGTGCTGCCCCCCAATTTCTCATGGGGTCTTGTTCATCTAATGTCAGTTTTTCTCCTAATGCTGGCCTCCTGTAATGGTGGCATCTTCCTCCCTCACACTGAGGCTGTCCTCTCATGCCTCGTCCCATTGTCTTCCCTTAATCACAGTGGTCTTCTTGTCATTTCACCCTACGGACTCTAAGCCCTTTGAAGGCAGCAACCATGTCTGACCCATTCCCACAGCTCCTCAGTCTGCATTTGTCCAGTTTGTTTTCCAATGCATATTTGTTCAGCTTCATTTAACTCAACCAACTCAAGAGCAACAGAGCTCCAGGGCTAATTAAAAACAGGTCTAATGCAGAGCTGTATTTCAGCTGCTCTGTGCACATAGCTGTCAAATGTGGAGTGTGCAGCTATTGTTTTGTTACTGCCAAAATGCATGTTGAATTTTTCTCATTAATTTCCGTAGTATAATAAGGACAGCAATGGAAGGTAAGATTTGTGTTATCCTGGAATCCTTGGTGTCAGAGAAATCCTGCCTGCCATAAAATGTTTGTGGGGGCCTCCATGTGGGCGCCTGAGTGACTGTCCATTCTGGCCCACCAAGAGCCTAGTCAGTGATTCTTAGACTGTGGGATTTTATGTAAAATACCTATAATAAGTTTTTTGGGGACTAGCATGAGGTTGCCAAGATCTTGCTTTGTTAAGGGAAAGCAGTTTCTAAACTTATCATTTATTATCACCAGTATTTTATGAAAAAAATCATAATTTAACACCAAAAGGTAGGAAGGTCATAATCTCAGAATAAAGAGGAGGTTGGGTTCATTTTTTTTTTTCCAATTAAAGCATTTAACCCTAGTTCTTCACTAATCACCAGTAGCTCACTGTCTGGTGTAGCTTGCTCAAAGAGTTCAGTTTTTCCAGTTCAGGGCCTCATTACAAATGAGACTTAGACTGAAACGTGAACTAGGGCAAGCTGCTTATCTCTGCAGGTGAGTGTCTGGCCCTAAGTCATCCTGATAGCTATCTGCGGGAGAGCTGACCTAGAACCAAGCTCTTCAGCAAGCACACCTGGCTTCGTGCCTGCCTTTCCCTACCCTCAGGCCCCATCTAATTTGCCACGTGCAGGTTTGCCACATTCAGGCCTTGTAAGTCTGGCATGGCAATAGACCATCCTCCCTTAGAAGGAACAGTAGCTGGCCTTACCTGCTCTCTGTTCTCTGCAAAGCCTTACTTTTACATAGGTCTTGCCTCCGCAAAGCTGGTAGAAATTCAAAGTGCTGACCTTGCTTAGGGGAATGAGAAAACACAAAAATACAGATTGTTTAAAGATTGCTCAGGAGCTGTTGGAGTCTTCTGAAGCCA